GGGGGGGGGAGTAACAAAGCTAAAAACGACGGAGAGAGTAAACCAGAACATTCTGTGACATGCACTGCCTTACAAAAAGGGCTCTTAAAACATACTATCAAGAAACATTCATTGCAAGGGGTTAGCTGTCAAAGTTAAATAAAAATCACTGACTTTCTAAAGACAGGAGTGAAGGACTAAATTATAAAACAGCTTATTGTATTAAGCTAATTAAGGTTTATCATATCAGCCATCTGAGTTTTAGTTGGCACCAGAAAAGCAGGGGCAGCATATCATGCAACGTGGATTGCGATCTGCTTTGCAAGCAGATTTCTACCACACTCAGACACAAAACCTCTGGCAGTCGAAAATGATGTAGAATTGAAAACCAATTTTAGCACAGTGATTTGTAAAGAATTTTGTTCCATCATGTAAGCTATTTATTGGTGTATCAGGCCGAGATTACATTTATCTTTATTAAATACTACACAAAGTATTCTGAGCTAACCATACCCTTGCTTCCCTTTTGCCAGCTTTATCACACACTGGATGCTCTGCAATCACATGAAAAAAATCCTTAACAATAAAAACCCTTGCATACTTGACACCCTTCACTGCAGACACTCTGCCCACCAACTGCCAGCACACAACTTCACATATTCTAAGATCCTCGGCATTTCTGAAAAGACTCCACTCTGTGCAAATCCAGGAGGAACAAAATCCCCTCTTCAAAGTAGGGGACAAATGTATTTTCAATCCTGTCCTCTATGGGCTCCTCTTGACTGTACTTCTACCAAACCAGGACACAGACCGAGTTCTCTCTGTCGTTGAGATCATACTGGATAGGATTCTGGAGCTGCTGGCTTCCTCTTTGGGGAAGTTGCAGCTCTTTGCACCAGGAACCCCAAGGCAAAATGTTCAGTGTTCCCCCTGTAAGCGCTCACTGCCTTTGTTCTTCACTTTGCTAGACTCCTTACTGCTTTCTTCTCCCTGCTCCTCGAATACCTCTGGTTTTGGGGGGATGCATAAAAATGCCAGCTCGAATCTAACTGCAAGCTCTCTAAGACATCAGACATTTTCCACCATCCACTGCTATAAACCTTTGAGTTAGCAGGCATCTTTACACAGATGAAGCCAGACTAGCCGGTTTCCTCCTGGTACTGCATTAGCATTCCACATTAAAATGTATGCCACAAATAATCCAATGGCAAACTCACCGTCAACAGCCCCCAAAATCAATAAAAGCCATTCCACCACTTGCCTCGGAGTTGACAAACCTTTCAGGTTAACACAGAGCACAAGGTAAAAGGAAGGTGATGAATGAACAAAAGGCAAATCTACCTTCAGACTCCTCAAATCCTAAAAAGGAGGCTAGGCTGCCTCGATTTGGCCAAGTCCTTCCTTTTTTTTTTTTTTTGTCATCATCAGGATAATGCTACATGTGTGCTGCTTTAGTCTTATGCAAAGCAGTGCATTCCCCACAAGGCCCTGATGCCTACCATTCTCTAAACTTGCCTCTTTCCAGGCCTGCCTCTTTCTAAAGGACTAGCCACATGCGAGTTAATGAAGTCATTCTGATTTTGTCTTGATAGCAATACCATCATAAAGTCACTCTAATCCCATTAAACTTGGATAACATTAAGAGTATTCTTTCTCCACTCTGAGCCCCAAATTATCTCCAGGGTACCAATCCACTGTCCATCTGTCTCTGCATGGACCTTCAAATAAACACTTAAATTCATGCTCAAAATATCGTATCTCACCTTGTGAACCTTGACCTTTTGGAAAGACTTTGGCCCAATGTTCAGTTACTGTCACACGGTTGCATTCTCTGCAAATATGAAAGGGTTAAAAGCAGCCCCAGTCAACAGGCCTACAAGGAAAAAAAAGACAGCATGTATGCCTTACAGCATCACTGGAACGCATTTATGCTCATTTCCTAGAACAATATTGTTACCTTTTGGCCTTCATAATAGTCAGAAGTATCCCCAACACCCTTTAGTAGCTTCTAAAAGAAAAAGCACAAAACAGAACATACCCTGCAAGAGAAAAAAAAAAAAAAGGCATGCAAAGTAGCATTCTCCAGCAACAAACAAACTACCATTACAAATCCATCAGTTCATTTTGGTTTGGTTTTGTTAAAAACACAGAGAAAGAGAGAGAGAGAGAGACTGCATAAACCAAGTGTCCCCACCCTAGCAAGGCACATTTTTTCTTTAATAAGGGTCATAAATCTCAGCTCCTTGTCCATCCCTTAAGCAAAAGAAAAAGGCAGGAAAAGCCCAAGTAATCTCAGACCTTGCAAACCTGCACATTTTTTTCCATCTTCTCTACACAGACTCTTTTAGGGCTCCATTAGTCACGTACCAGTGCTGTGTGGTGTCTAAGTGTGCATTCACATACTGTGTTGGGATGGTACCTTCCTGCAAGCTCCTCTGCTTTTGGCTGCCATGAAGGGAGGAAGCTGCTATCCCACTGTAGTAGCTCAGTGACTGCATTGTGTTCAGGAGCTGATCTGCCTCAAACCAGTTTCAGCCGGTTCTGGTCACCCTACATAAAAAAGCTATGGCAACCCTCGCTGAGTTGCCAACAAGTCCCTGAAAATCATCAGCGCAGAGGGGATCTCGCTAGGGGTTGCTTTTCCCTTTTAGGTCTTCGTGAGGAGGGGAAGGTCATCGTGTGTCGTCCCCCCACCACCACCACACAAGCACACAGCCTTGGAAATGCTCACCTCGCAAGCACCCCAGAGCCCCTCAGGGCCCATCCCCCCTGCCCCTCCACCCCAAAGCCCACCGCAGACACTGTTTCCCCCTCCTTGTCCTTGCCCCACTTACCTCCCACAACCTGGCTCACATCTTTGTGTACGTGTGTGTCAGTGTGTGTTCTCTGTGTTGGTGGCTGACAAAGAGCCCCCAAGAAAGCAATCTATGTGTGTCTCCTCACACTGGGCGCGTCGGCTGCAGGAGCGGCCTCGGCCTCCCAGCAGAGCGGTGCTGCCTTGTTGACCAGGCTCTTCTCCGCCTGTCACCCCCACCCCACCCAGCCCCCTCCTCCCGTCCCCCTCCTCGCTCTCTCAGCCCTGTCACCACCACCAGCAGCCCCCCCCGCCCCCCGTCTCCTCCTCCTCCTCCAACCTTCTCTTCTTTCAAGCACCTGGGGGGGGCGGTGGGGGGAGAAGTCCAAATCCCTTCACCTCGGGGTAGGAAACTAGGGATGCCTGGGGTGGGGAGGGGGGGCAAGTGAAGGGGCAGTGAGAAAGGGGCACAGAGGCCTTTAAAGAATCCTCTGCGCACCGCCAGCGCTGGAGGGGGTAGGAGCGAGCTCCTGCGCTCACGTGGCCCCCCTCTCTGAACCTGTGGGGCCTAGCGAAACCGGCTCGTCCTCGGCCCCCCCAAGGAAGCTGCCGGGGCGCGAAGGCCAGCCGTCCCCGAGGCCAGGGTGGGACAGGCCACTGCGGTCAGGCCAAGGGGCCTGAGCCTCACGCGCTCGCCCCGGCCCGCAGGGGTGGGCCCGAGGGGCCGGCGCGCGCGCCTCTCTCCCGCAGCCCACCCGCGCGCCCCGTCCGGCGCTGCCCTCGCCCCTCGCTCGCCCCCGGCCGCCCCTCGCTCGCCCCCGGCCCCGCGGGCGCACACCCACCCCCTTCCCGGGGTTGGCCTTCGCGGCGGTCAAGCCCGGGCGTCTGGGCCGCAGCTCGGATGACCTTTGTTCAGCGCGGCGCCGCCGGCTGCTGCTGCTGTCGTCGGAGCGGCGGCGGCGGCTTCCATGTTACGGGCGTGTCATCTGCATTCCCGCGGCCGGGCTGTGTGTGTGCGCGTGCGGTGGAGCGGCCTCGCCGCCGCCCGCCGCCACCGCCGCCGCCTGCCGCCTCCCGGGCTGCCGGCTCCCGCGCCCCCGG